TATCTCTCTCTGTTGAAAAATATGATTGCTTTTTTCTGCTTCCATGAATGTAATGATTGGCGATGATCCAAAAGTTTAATTAATGACTATGATGAAGGTAATATTTTGTGGACAAGGTAATGAAGTGTGATAGAGTGTACTTTGCATTTCGATTGCAATATATTACAAAGTAAATCTGCTATTTTTTAAATTATATTTCCTTTCCCGTATTATACAAATACAATATTTCCCCACCCTTTATCTCTTTCCTAATTAGACTATTTGCTGTAGAAGATAACTACTGGTTTTCATTCTTAATATCCTAAGCTTGAAAATGACATTGAAGCATGATACGATATAGATGATTGCTTATACCGTTGTTATATGTCTAGGCTGTACGACAATAGTACTGCCACGTTGGATATTGGTCTATACGTCCAAGGTCTGAAGTGATCAATCTCATTTGTAGTGTGTGTGTGTGTGTGTGTGTGTGTGTGTGAGTTGTTTAATAAAACAGCAATAGTTGAGCGAATATCGTGGCCTCGCAAGCAGAGTTACTCAATGACACATTAAACCAGTAAATCTATGCAAATTCAGTGGTCGGATTTTAACCCTTAGCCCTCTGGTCACGATCAAATAAAACTATATATGTCATAATGTCAACCCTTTATATAACTCACGACAATCTGACTTGGTATTATTGATATTTTCAGTCTTTGCCTTAGTGGTCTTCATGGTCCTAATTGGAACGACTTGGATAAATAGGACGCTCGCCACTTCAAGAAATGACGTGGTCATGTAAGTATTAAAAATTCATTTTTTTGTTAATTCTTAATTTTATGAAGCTTATCATGGTTTAAAACGCATTGTTTTAGACATGTACACAACATTCTCTCTATCTAAACCACTACCAGGTCACATAGGTAAAGGGCACAGTTGCCATTGTTTGTCTCTGGCATGAACCTCGTTCTGTTGACTGTCTGTTGGATTCCTTTCCTTTTCTGTTTATGTACGTTTTGTTACCTTTTGCTATTTATTTAAAAAAAATAACCATTGAGTTTTCAAGAAATGGTGTACTCAAGGTTTTGCAGAGGTCAGACTCAGTATATGACGTGTAGAGGTACCCATGTTGGAAACATCAATCAAAAGCTGACCATACATGTAAGGGTAGTCAAACCATCACCGTTACCTCTGGATTCCAATTAAAGATGGATTACCAAGTCACCATGTTCTAGATGATTTGAAGCTAAATTGTACTCAATGTGCTGTCGACAGTGGAGATTCGGCAGAAGCATTATGCTGTTTATGTGTGTGTGTGTATGTGTGTGTTATAATGTATTTGGAAGGGGAAACGTATTCTGTGGTATCTAATGTACTTTTCGGTTCATACTGTATACCTGACGGGTTTCCTTGTATATAACTAAAAATCGCTTGTTGGTCAGTACAACTTTCTATAACTCTCTGCATTTGTATTACAAACGTTACTGAGACTCTAAAGGAATGGCATTGAAGAACTATTAATACATACGCAAAAATCTATTTATACATACGAACCAATGAGGAGTTGTTCAGTAAGTGTTATGAAATATATGGTTTTATTTTAGCTATAAAGAATGCTGAGGAACATGTAAAAGATATTTTATATCAATTATGTCGAATAAAATGATTAGAGTTTGAAACAATATAAATTGTACGAATGAATATTAACTACTGGATTCATATCGTTTATCTATTGTTGAAGCATGATATGAAAAGATGTATGTCAACAAAGTTGTGTAATCAAAATATAACTATTCTGTACTAATAAATACACGTGAGGATAGATAAAGTTTGTTTGTAATAATTTTAGTGGTTTGTATTTGAAGCTAAATTCCCTAAGACTATTAGATTTTTAATTCCACCGTATTGTGCAAACATAACCTGATGTAAATATTTTATATCCACTATAAAGCATATTTGACATAGCACATACGGAATAACCACAACTACACTTTGTTATTGTTTACGTTTTTAATTTAGTTCATGAACACATATTGTATGTATTCCAATGTCTTTTTTCTTTGATTTGAAACAATGTTCATACCATTTGGGTTTCCATTAATAAATGTATTCAATCCACACTACAAATATAACAGACATCCCCTTGTAAATGTTGTTATGGGTAATGAAATGCATCACTCTTTGTTTGAAGGTTGCGTCCTCGGCTAAAAGATCAGTGGCTTTCATATGAAGTAGTTCATCATTAACGAAAAAGGCAAAGGACCAAGATTAGAGCCTCAACACTTGACATACTTTAAAGAATACGCAGCACTGCTGCATTTTGAAGTAGATTTAGTTGTCAGAAAAAATATAATGATAATAAAGTATGCTAAATCTGTGAGGAAAATAAATACAAATTTATTGAAGTGACCGTTTTAATGGAATTTCTTTCATACACAAAGTCTTAATCAAAACCCAAACGATTCAAACTTCATTCGGTAAATTTATTACCAACATTAGGTGCAATGATCAATCACACAGATACGTGTTTTTGTTAGATGTCTGTTTTTAACTACTATTTGTTATGAACACTGCAAACAGTTACAGTTAATATGTAAATTTCCGCTTGTTTGCACTCATGTGTATTTATGTTTTTTTCTTTTTCAGATCGTTTCAATGAAACATACACCTTTAGTTGACCTCCAATGCATAATGCCTCTGCACATATCTTACTGTTGATGTTACTTATATCTTTTTACACATTATTAATGCATGATTGTCATTTATTCCTGAAGCAAATAAAGTGTCAGGAGCTCATAATATGATTGTCTCATCTTATTTTGTTCTGGTCATGTTTAGTTTCAACTCCAATAGTTTTCATTCCATAAAGAAGAAATCGGAAAGATGAGTTGTTATGCCAGTTATTAAGCTTACATATCAACTTTTGGGGTCGGGTGCCGTAAATATATACGATGCATATGAATTAGTGTTTCTTCTCCGAACTCTATGTCAAAGACTTACACAAAATGGTACTAACAGCTGCCTCGCTGGGCGCTCAGTATTACGACGTTAGTGTTATAACTGGTAGGTCTGGTATCACAATAATGTGACTGGGTGGGACATCATGCTACATATTTGCGGCATGATGCTAGACATCACATTAACCTACCACACTGCAGACATCGTAGCGATATGAACGAAAAACTTTTAAGTTTACGTCACAAATCCAAATCACACACACACACACACACACACACACACTTCCCAGAGCTCATGAGCGTGTCATTCCTAAAACATTGAGCTAAGACGACAAAGCCAACTTACTTTTCTTTTATGCTTTCAGTTATATTGACTTTAAAATAAAAAAGTTTAAATGTCATTAAATATGACTTATGTTGAAATAAATTGGTTAATAAAACTTTAAGCAGAGCATATCAATACAGACATCAATCAATCTATCTGATCCCTCGTCGGTATTACATTCATTACATTCATTGTTTCACGTGTCTCGTAGAGGATGATGGTTACCTTCAGAACAATCTGGTAGCCTAGCAACTGCAACACAATGTATCATCTTATTTAGGATACCTATCTCTATAATGAATTACCTATCACTTTATTTAGGACACTTACCTAAATTTAGTCTGGATACCATATTCGTTGAAATGTTGCAGCTTACATTATTAAAATCAAACATATTGTAAATGTTTTCAATGACACATTTAGTTTGTTTAAAGCATAGCCTTTCATTGTTTTCTTCCTTATTATTTTTGGAGAGGTGCTGGGGCAGACTACTCTGTTGTCAGCCAAATAAATTGGCAATATCTTTTAAAGAAACACATTGACAATGCATTAATCTGTCAACATTTTATAGATCATCATGGGATATATTTGTTTCCTTTATGGTAGATTTTATTTGTTTGTTTATTATTGTTGATATTGTTACATGCATCATTCAAGTTTCAACCTACATTTATAAATGTTTAATTTTATGAAATAGATCTACAGGGGACAATGGTAGATCATATACCATTCGAGTAGAAAGAAAGGATATAAATTAATATAACGTCCGATATAAATTAAGAAGTAATCGATTTAAAGACGGACGCATAAGATTGTAGTATTGTTTATCCCAAACTGAAGTACACTGAAAATTAAACGATTTATTCAAATCTGTTAATTATTTGATTCAGAATGACGTCTTAAGAGTTTTATATGTATATTGGTTAAAATATGCAAGCATTGTAAGTATTTCTCGTGATGCAAAAGTGGCATAAAACGAGTTTGAGTTGTATTATTTTTATTCTTCTTCTTTCGTTTGTTTTCATCTCACCTGTTCTGTGCTGTGCTGTTCAGATTGTGCAGTAAGATGGAGCCTCGCAATATTAAACACACACACACACACACACACACACACACATATATATATATATATATATATATATATATATATATATATATATATATAATGTCGCCATCGCAGATTTGCAAGATCTTAGAAATTCGTTCATCAAAAAGAAACATCTAAATCATCAGGGTTATTCAACTTATCTTCACCAGGACCAGGTGACTTGGTTGGAGAGTTCTGGACTTTCCAGACCCCTACGATTAAAATAAGAAACGTAAACACACATAGGTACTTTCACTTCTTTTTTGTTATCTAACAATCGTTTTATTATTGCGCACGTGTTTTGGTTATACTCTAGATTTTGAGTAAACATACACAGACCTTTAATTTTGTCCCATTCGAATACAGTCATAGATGTTTTTTCTTTGCAATGCTGGAACCATCCCATTCATAACACGTAGCATGATTGACCCTGATGATTTCCAGTATATAATTATACATTTTAGTAAAAGTGTTTCAAAACTACAATTTCGTTTCAAATTGGATCATCGCGTTCAGATACATGCAAATAGAACGTTTGTCGTACACTTATAGAACAAAAGAAACCGATACAGCATTCCTGTCCTCAATTTCCCTGATTACGACAGACCTGTCGGAGTTGTATTTAATCTTATCTTCAATTTCTGACACAACTGCTCATGTGGTTTAGTGATATGAGCGTCCGCCTCGGATGCGGTAGGCTGTAGGTTCGAACACCGTCCGAGTCATACCAAAAACTTTACAAATGGAACTAACAGCTTCCTCGCTTGGCGTTCAGCATTAAGAGGTTAATGTTAGGACTAGTCGGCCTGGTGTCAGGATAATATGGCTGGGTTGCACATCATACTACATGTCTGCGGCATGATGCCCCAATGCTAGACATCACTATAAACTCTCACACTGCAGACGTCGTCATGATATGGCTGAAACAATGTTAAAGCTACGTTAAAAATCGAGATCACGCACACAAAAATTCAGACAAAGTTACATGTTGAGCAATATTTATAAATACGATGATAACGTGGAGTTGTTTCTTATCCATCTTTATTTCCTTGTTCACTGTCATCTAGCTTAGACATGTACAGGGATGTGTCAGAATTTCCGTTTTAAAACACACCGCTCTGGCGGACTAGTGTTTAGAACGTCCGAATTTAATACGGAAGGTCGCGGGTTCAAACCACACGCAGCAGGGAGGTGAACCCTACAAATGTTTGCTCGAGTTCTTTACCTAAGAAAGGTTCCTACTTCTGGCTGAAAAAAAATAAGGTCAATAACGCTAAACCGAAGTCTCTAACAGAGTAAATTTACATAGGTTAAAAACAGGTAATAAATCGTTCAGATTAGCTCAGTTTTGTTACCCTTTTGTTGAAGTATTTTTTCATGATTTTGTTTACTTGCGAACCGGACTCAATTTTTGTCGTTCACTCTCCCTGTCGCTACAAATTAACTAAAGATTTTATCCAGACCTATACGATGTCAGGATCTTACGTCATGTAGATTTATTGTTATGAATCCGAAAGGAACAGCTTGTGCTTTCGAAAAATGTTTTTAAACTTGATCATGTCCATATCCCTTGAACACCAAGTATAATAAATATTATGTAGGATATAATTATCTACCCCATTAAACACAACCAAAACATTACAGTTATATCTGATCATCTTAGGTATATGTGTGTATCGTTGTGTAACACAAATCACGTCAGTATTTTTATGTCTACCTCTGGAAAATGTTCTAGCTGGATTTGTTTTTCCAGGATCACATCATTATAGCCTACGAGATTATTAATGAATCCATCTGAGGCATCTACAGATGGAGCTTCATTAATAATGGCGATAAAATCAATAATGTCGTCACGGTTTTTATTAATTGATTTCGCCTTCTCGCTAAATTCCTTAAGTATTTCGTAGCAATACTGAGCATCTACAGACGTTTCGATTAAATATAGTTTTCTCCATCTCAATTATCTCATAATTAAATTTAATAATAATTGTGCTTTACCTGATCCAGATGGACTTATTATAATAATCCTTATAGAATTTGGTACTGCTGGATAGTGCTTTACTGGTTCCTGTGTTCGTGTCGCCGAAAAGTCAATTATTGTATTCATCTTATTAACATGAGTCTATATTGTGTTCGATGTAGATTATTTACACCTACCACTGGAATGACAACAATAATAACGAAAAATAAACGACGTGAATTAATAGGCAAATGTGTAAAATGTGGTACACAAAAAATATAAACTGATCTCCATGTCTTATTCAGGGACAAAGACAGGCGGAAATATTGTTGCTTCTTTAGAAACATTACCTGGATTACCATGTACTAAATACGCTGGTGAGAAACTCTTTCCAGGATATAATTATTGTGGTCATGGAAATCGACTTAATATCTGACTTTATCATCAAGACCAATTATGACCCGGAAAGTATCCAATAATTTCAATACCTACATTTTGATGTCAGTACTCCCAATGAAGTTCGTCAAGCAGATATTTTGTTTCTACCACACGATAATATTAAAACACGTGGACGAAAGTCACGCACGTGCAAATACGCATTAACTTGTTGACGTTGAAAGTAGATATAAAGCAGAAGAGCCAGTACCAACAAAGACAGCCTCTGAACCTGAATCTGCATTTGTAAACTATTTGTAAAATTAGCAAGACGAAAATGTTCCATACAATCGCAGGCAATCAGAAAAGAGAATACTGCAAAATAAGTTCATGGGATGTTAATAAAGCCAAAACACAATGACGAACAGACCAGTTTGGACTAACATAAACAATGGATGTAAAGAACGAACTAAACCTACAGCATCACATTTTAATGGTTTACTATATGCAATATTTAGTATCCTCCATGCATAAAACAGTACATTGATACATGACATACCCACAACAGAAAATGTGGATCAGTCGAATTTTAAGCTGCACCGTATGCAATAAAATATTAAATATGACTGGAGCTAACCAAGTAATTTTATAAGTCATGCACTACTTCAGACGTTTTATGACCAACATCCTAGTTGATTTAACCGAACATTCCAATCACCAAAAGATAGTATGGATCATAGGACAGACATGACTTCGACTTGCTGCATTATGTCTCTATGCATACGAGGTCATTTGGTTGGTTTTAAAATCTGAAAGTCTGAAAACGGGGTCATGTTGTCGCATGACTTATATGGAATCATATATATTTTTTTTCATGTTCTTTACCAAGTCGCTTCTGTTCTGGGTACAACTACAGCTCCTGTTGTGCTGCTAGGTAAGTTTTACGCCACAGTTGTTACTTTTCAAAGCGATGACATCTTTTATTTTGTATTCCTCAAACTGATTTTACTTATATCTTTGTGTTGTTGTATTGTGCATTTCCAATAATTTGTACAACGTATTTAATTTGCCTGCTTTATCATAGCACATTATGTAATTAGGCACAAATTTTAAACTTTTGAAACGTAAACTTATTTCACTTAATCTGAAAATGATCTACATGTACATTTCATCTACCATATAAAGCTTGCTGGCGAAGAGGAACAAAAACAGGTATATATATATATATATATATATATATATATATATATATATATATATATATATATATATATATATATATATATATATATATATATATATGTGTGTGTATTTTTGTGCTAGAAGAATTTCTCTGTTCGTATGTCAATGTAGAACAACATGTTTTGATAGACGAGCTAATTTTTACTCGTTTTTTCTGAATAATTATTTTCATGGAGAACAATATTACGGATTTGGACAATGACATCTTCCCGAAAATATTCTAAATTGGAACGGAACAACTGTGCTGTAGTATGTAAATTCTAGAATTTTCTGTTAGCCTTCGTCTGACATGGTCATCCGCCATTTTGGATCGGAATTGAACTTCAGACTGTGTTTAGAACATTTTACAGGACTTATGTTTCTATTTTGAACAAACAATTTTGGATCATTTTCGTAAACCGTAAGTATTGTTTAACATATTTATATTTTTTTCTAGACAAATAAATTAGTTTTGTTAAAATTTACAAAGCTTGTTGTCTTCACTCTTTATTTTATGTTACTTTGAACGAGCTGATACATAACAACATACATACATTACAAGGATGAAAACGAGATACATTAGTTTTTGCATCTGCCAATAGTTATGTAAAGATATTAAGTTCTGCTATGTATTTAACAATAGTTAACAGATTGCCAATTTAAAGGTTAGTTCAGCTAATATTATATGATACACGGCATACATATCATTCGGTTACCATTTTACATGTTTTACTTCATAATTTTTTGCATTTATAATCAGTTGAACATACTTTTGTTCAGTTGTTTTGTCACTGGACATGCAAATGATGTGTATTACCATTCTGTTGAAGAGGACAGCCCCCACTGCTTCCTTTCTGCTAAGGTGACACCGTCTCAGAGAATGAAACACCAGCCTCGTAATCTTTGAATGTTTTTGAGAAAGAAGGAAGCTACAGTCCATCATGCACGTTGCACTTGCATGGCTGGATAATCATTCGTTTCTTCATGCTTAGCAATTAAATGTTACATTTGTGTAGAAGTATCAGGTGAAAAACATATTAAGCATTTCAGACCATATTGTACTTAAATTTGAAGTTTGAAAGAATAGTTATAAAGTATGGTATGTGTAAACATGACATCCTTATTTTTGTTTTAAATACTCCCATATATAACGACATATTTAAACTTCCCTAATGAGCAAAATTCTCAGCACTTCTTGTTTGATGTGAAATCGTTTCATTTATAAAATATGAACAATGTGAGATTCAGTTTTATTGATTTAACACACCTAAATCCAATTTATTGAGTATGAGAAATACACAAAAGATGATATAACAAGAAAATTTAGACACTATTTAGTTATCTATTCGTACTTAGAGGTACAATTAACATGCAAAGAATTTTGGATGACAAAAATTATTTAATGGTATCGTGTTTTAATGTAGGCTCGGAAAATTATACAGCCATGTGGCCCGCTTTTCTTTTTAATGTGGAAATTGGAGCTCGACTTGATATGACACAACGGTCAGTCAATCGTGCTAGTGAAACAAACGTTTTATTTAATGAGGTAATTATTGCTGTTAGAAAGTGTCAAGTAAAATTCAAGTTAATATATACTTTAGAAATGGAAAAATAATTGTATTAAGACAAGACATGTGTATGTTAGTACCCAACTAATCAATCAATTCTCATTTGTTTTCTGAATTACAAATAGGAAGGAAAGATTTGTTTTGGCTATTTGTTAAGTTTTTTGTTATCTGTGCTGCAACTTTAAGACAATAATGCAAGCCTTTTCTCTGTTGTAGATGGAACCCATGATAGTTGATGAGTTTCAAAGCTTGGTGGCTAATAGGATTAAGATAATCGACTACCTTATACACAGCAGAAACAACCAGCTATCATCAATGGTGACATTAAAATCAATTAAGGCTGCATCTCCAAATTCTTTATTTTTCTTCTCCCACCTCTACATGGAGAGCTGGACACTGAATCTGCAGTTGGGCGAAACAAATATTTCCACCACTTTTAATTTCCCTGACTGACGAGCAGTTGCACGCCTTACATCAGAGGACAAACGGCTAGTGTTTGGTGAGATATGGAGTAAAACATTTGCAACATATTAAAAATACACCAATAGTACAACACGGGGGAGGGGTGATAACTCATCGATATAGTATTTCTGCAAGATAACGATGTTCACC